ATGCTCGTTTGAATCGGTGGGTGGGGTGACTGCGTTTGCGGGCCGCCGTGTAGTGTTCTTTGAATATGCAGACAAAGCGTCGCGTGATCTGAACGTGGGGGTGGGGTGGCCGGGTTTGGGGGGGCTCTCCGTTTAGTGGTGAAATCGAACGGGCAATCAGCACAGTGCAAGGACAGAGTAAGAAACGTGAGGAGTGCGTTATAGAATAGCTGCGACATTGAATTCGATGAGACTCACGCGCTCGTGCCTTGGTTGGTGCCGCATGCATCCTCGGCCATCGGTGCGTTCGCAGTTGGCGCCGGCGGAAAGGCGGCCCGAGGCGGCGGAGACTTTAATCGACAGTTGTCCGAATGTGGGGGCCGCGCGATCATTCGCAACATTGCGCCCAGACGCCAGCGTCGGCGTTGACGAGGGCTGTCCAGAACTGATCGTGGGAACGTCGCAAGGAGGCGTTCAATCCAATGAGTTCACGAGGGGTGGAAGCGAAGAGGACAGGTGGACAATTGAGGGAGTCGCTGCCGTGCAAGGGTTGCCATGCTCACCGGGCCCCAGCGCAGCGGGGTGCGATGTGAGGGCTCTCGTCGTGGTTGAACCTGTGGGGGGCGAGGATTCGGCGAACAGAAGGCCAACGGTCGCCAGAGTATATTCTGTGAAGAGGTATATTGTCTGGCAGCGGGGTTCACTTCTGGGCGCCACGGGCGCGGGGCGCGTGTTAGGGGGGGGGGGGGGGGGGCGCGCGAGCTCCGCAATCCCGTGCGCCGTCAGCGAGTCGCTGGATGGTTGAAGAGGCAACGCGATCGACGAGTTCTAGAGAGACAGGCCTGAGCGCGAGGTGGGGAAGGGAGATGAGTGCACCCCTTCAAGAAGCCCAGATCGGAGTTAGCATCTACCCGGGTTTTCGGGGGCAACGAAACAATCCGACAACGCCGAACTCCGAGGAAGGGGCTGTTGTATGTTCCGAGCGCGGTTCCCCTGGCTGCGAGGAACGGAAATGGTGGGCGTTCGGGGCAATTCGGAGGGCCCATGCAATGCGCGACAGAGATGGCGACGTGCGTGAGGTAGAAGATGACTGGCGCCAAGTTGGACTTCGAATATTGGGCCAAGAGTCTGGCGACGAGGATGTCACCGTCGCCCTCGGCAATCGTTAAGAGAAACCATCGGGCTTCGACGGCGACATTGGTGCCGATGAAGAGCAACAGGAGAAGACTCGAGTGGTGGAACAGGAAGGCGAGGGCGTGGGTGGGACCATGCATGGCATGGAGATGTTGGGCATTCGTAGCGAGGTCACTGACTGGCTACTTGACGCGGGTTTGAGAATCAGCAAGGAAGTATGCGAACTCCGGAGAGCAGCCAGGTTACGCGCAAAGAGCAGCATGCGGTACAGGCGCATGCAAGCAAGGCGTACTCGCCAGGACGAATAACCAGTATGGCAGAGAACATGGGATTGATGCTTTGTTTATCCGTGGATCTGACCACATGCGATGAATTCGGTAGTTTCTGATGTTGAAGCAATCAAGTTATTTGGGGCAGGACTCATGAATGCGGCCTGCAGCAGACTTCGCAATTTTCATTGCGAGGTTCGGCGAGCAGGGAGTGAACGCCAGCGCTGTGCTGTGGAAGTATGTGACGCACTGAGAAGAAGCGGCATATATGTTTCATTCGAGCACCCATCCGGAGCGGCAAAGTGGAGCACGGTCTCAGCGCAGAGGTTCTTTGGGCAACGTCAAGTTGACGTATGCGATGGGGACATGTAGCAGTGCGACAGCAAATGAAGGAGAAGATTCGGTCGTCGAAAAGGCCGCCCGATTCGTGACCAACAATGTTCGAATTTGATTGGGAGGAAACCTGAGGGCCGAGGGCAACGTCGACGCGTGGAGTTATCGGGGTGTGGACGCACTAAGAGATCAGAGAGATGCCCAGATCGACCACGCAAGGTGTTGTGAAAGGGCTGGTTAAGCAAATGAAGGAACATGGAAGGCAAAAGCCGAGGGAGATCTCATGTGCATCAACGAAGTACAGTGCACCGATGTCTCGAATTGCTATGAACATGAATGGACGCGTGAAGACAATGCACGACCAAGTTGATGTTCATCGCTTCCACTTTCAGTTCCCGAGCTACGTGGGACGCGCAACCACGCAAGTGGGAATGCTGGGGCTACAGGCGCGTGGGTAGGTAAGGAAAATCCCAGCATGTGTGTGTGGCCCGCGGGGCAATCCGGGCAGCAGTTAGACCCATGGAAAGGAGACCCGTGCTTGTACTTGTTCTTCACCGCAAGACGGATGGAAAGGCGCACGCATGGGGCGACGCGTCAGGGATGGAGTTTGATGCAGGATTGACGCTCAGAGTCAGGGTAGAAGAAAGCGAGCAGTTGGAAAAGCGCGGAGTGCACGGGCGTGCAAAGGAGAAGGTATTCTGGGCCTTTACTGGAAAGGGTCCAGTTGGATTGGATGGTTATCGCAGGTGATGGGGGCAACCCGGAATTTCGGTCAAGGTTAGTGGCGCAGCAGATCAAATGCCGTTCAAGGGAAAAGAGAATTTGCGCGGCCATTCCGCCGTTGGAGGCCCAGAAACTGCTGGGGTCCTTATTGGCGTTGCGGGGGGCGTCGGATTTTACCGTGAAGGGTGCGAGAAAGGCATGGGGCAAATGTTTCTGGGCGTTCAGCGAGCGTGCTCCTACTCGACAGCTAAGGAGGGCATGCTCGTGAAGTTGCCTGCTGGGGGCCGCGAGCCGGGCATTTGTGATGGATTTCTGAAGGCCGGGGGCGGCGCGCGTGATGCTGCCGGGGCTGGGTTTGGCCGGCGGGTTAGATGTGGTTCAGACACCGCGCCAGAAAGGTGTGGTTAACTGTGCTCGGCGAGGACTTGGTGCTGCCAGGGGGTGGCGCCGACCTGGACTCGAAGTTTTAATAAAGGAGGAATTGGAGGTGAAGGCGGGGGTAGGATAGGGCCCGGAGTCAGGATGGAGGAGGATCAGTCGAGCAGGGTCATGCACCATATCGCAGGGTGGAGCGCGGATGGGTTATGGTACGAGGCCGGCCAGAGGCACCCGGAGTTCTCAGTGAAGGAGATGGCTTAGTTCGCAGACAGGTCAGATCAGTGGTGCCAGAAGAAGAAGTTCGTTACAGTGAGGCTGAGGACTAGTTGCCTCCAACGGACGTGAATATGCATCGAGCGTTAGCAGCGAGAGTTAAGTATATGTCGCAGGATCGATCACATATCTAGTTTGTGATTAAGGAGCTTGCCAGAAGTGTGTCATGTCCCACCGGGCGGTCCTGACAAGCCTGAGTTAATTTCGGGGAGCACTTCAAAAACGCACGCCAGCGATCGCTATTTATGTAATTCCCGAGAGTTCCCCGTGGAAGTCACCGTGTGGACGGGCGGTGGTCGCGCAGTATGCAAGAATTCAAGAAAGTCGACGAGTGGGGGGTGGTCATGTGTGGGCAACATCATCGCATCGTGGTTTTCTGTGCAGAGTGTTATAGCAGTGTCGTCTTTTGAAGCATGGTAGTCTGGCATGGGAAAGGGGCATCAGTAGGTTCGGCATGCAAGGTAGTATAGGGGGAATTTGAGATCGAGGTGGAATTCTTCCTGCAAGATGATGCCAATGCGGCAGTGGCTATATCCAGCGGGAGAAGGTTAGGACAAGCGTGGAATATATAGATGTCTGCCAATTGTGTTTGCAAGATGAACTGAGGAGTGGAGACGTAAAGGGTAGTCAAAGCTTCCACTTTTGAGAATTTGGCGGACACCCTAAGCTGATGCGATGGCAGCGTATTATTCAGGACACGCATGCGTGACGCAATTTAGCTCGTGCTTCATGGTAGATGTCGGTTAGAACGTGCCGATGAATATTTGATACCCGCAGCTGTTTGAGATCGAGGAGCCTCTGCTACTACCTCCCGAGCTCCCCAACTTTGCTAACGCGCCAGCCGCCGCTATTAGCATGGCGTCTCATGGCCGCTCCGCTCCCGAGCGCCGGACGTTCATGGTTGGCCAGGAAGCCTTTGCCGCGATCGGGGCTCGTCCTGGAGGAGAAGTTACCGAGGGCCATCTCCTGGGGCGCCTGGTCAATCAGGAGTCCATCATGGTTCGCGTGGGCCTGGTGTTCAACGAGAGCGAGGCTTGCCGCCCGCCGCTGTGTCAAGCAGTCCGAGGAGAACCGTGACGTGCGTTGTTCCGAATTCCAGCAGATGACGGTGGACCCTGGCGCAGCGTTACATTAGGCTCTGTTTGTCCGTATCCGAGTCATCAGGGTCAAAGAGGAGGTCGCCGATGTTTAAATCGAGCGCGACTAGTCCAAGGAGGTGCGCCAGCTGCTCGAGGGGCAGATAAGCCAGCTCAACGTGGCGCAGGATAGCGACGAGGATGCACGGGCTGTTAGACGCGGCCAGATTGCGAATAATATGGCCAGGGTTGACGAGTTAGCCAATGACGCCTCGAGAATCGTCTCACGGTTGCCCGAGCCCGCCCAGGTTTAAGTCAACGCCGACGTTGCGTCTCAAATGGGGGAGATATAGACAGAGTGCATTCGCTTAGCGACGGCGTCTCTCGCCGCAAGTCCACCATCGCATAGGTTGCCAGTATAGCGTGGCCCCTGTCGCCATCCGGTATTCGGTCGTCTGCAGTACCGCTCCCGATTCCATTTCCGAGCGAGGTTTTTTTGGGGGGCCTGTCGGTCAACCGGCGCAGCCTTCCCAGGTCCGAGATGTTTGGCCGTGACCTCCGTGGCTGGCAGGGGCCCTAGCGGGGGCTCTGAACCGTTGCCCGAAGCAGTTGGAGGTGCGTCGAGCAGCGGGGGGGCGTCAGCGAGCGAAGTCAACCCGCCTCAGGTGGCCCCCTCGGCTGTAGCCGCGGAGGAAGATAAGAAGGTGGGCGAGTTGCCGGGTGGCCCGCGCCAGCGCCCAGATCCAGCCGACGAGCCCACTGGGGCCCCGCGTTTGCCGGGGGTGCTGCCGGGGCGATTCCCCCGTCTCGGGTGGGGAATCCGTTGCCGGCGGAGGTGCGCGGCAAAAGCGAGCAGATCGCTCGCGACGAGGCCCGCGCCATCATGCGGTCCCAGAAACACGTTTACGCGTTTCCGTCAGCTTGTTCTAACAGCGACATGTGCGACTTCAATTTCACGCAGCGCTGCGAACCAAGTTGCTCCGTGGCTACCGGGCGCCCAGGAACCTTGCTGAGCTGCGTCTTGACCTTCGCCGTCGGTTTGTCGTGCCCAGGATTCCTGAGCAACGTTCCAGAGTCGCAGGTCTACATCGGGACCTTCTAGAGGTGCAGGAAAAAAGGGGCTGCTGGAGTTGGTCTTTATATGGTTTTGCATGCGCTGGCCTGGGAACTCGTTCGTCGTCGTCGTGAAAGGGCTGTGCGAGGAGTTGTGGAGCGAATCAAGTCGTTTCCACAGTTGACTGGTCCATTCCCTTGTGAATTTGTCCACTCCCTGTGTCTAGTTTCTGAAGATTGCGGAGCCTTGCAGACGATGTATGCATTTTTCCAGACGCTTCCTGGGGGGCCTTGAGGTGCCCCCCCGGCAGTTTTGAAAGTGTTCCTTAATGTTTCAAAATGCGCCGTAGCAGCTCGCCCTGCGCCTCTTAGCAGCCTTGGAGGCGCCCCGTAGCAGCTTTTAAGGCGCCCGGTAACAGTGGGTTACGATCTAATGTGCACATACAGTTATGTATACATATACTAAACGCTCCTGGGAGCTTTCTTTAAAGGGGCTCCGTAGCAGTCTTGGCCGATTTCGAGACGCTCCTCAGCAGCTCTCCAGGCGCTCCTCGGCCGACTCTTCAGGTGGAGTTGTTTTGGATAAGAACCCAAGCCAAACCGTTTACTATGCGGTCAAGCGCGCCAGACTCCCCCGTGGCAAGCCAACACGGGGCGGCGGGTCGAATGTCCTTCGGCCCACTCCCCCACCGTGCCCGAGCTGTGGGTGCTGAGGCGTCTTGGGTGGATGCCGGGATCCGTTGGGATGCCCTTCGGGGGCCTCTTGCAGGACTGTTGGAGGCCTCTTCGGCTCTCCTGAGGGCCTCCTCGGACCCTCTCGGGGCCCGTCGGGGGCGCTTCTTGAGCCTCTGGTTGGCTATGCGGGTCTTTTTTTGGGCGGGGCGCTTGACGTGAAAATTGGGGTCCTCCTCGTGGGAGTTTGCGTAGCAAGAGTTTCAAATGCGGTGTTATGTATGTGATGCCTGTGTTTTCGATGCGTTGTGCAAGCGCTGTGCGCGCGATGTGATGCGTTGCGTGTGCCTTTCCAAAGTCAACTCGTATACGATTGTTGTCTGCGGTTTGTGGGCGTGTTTTATGCGGAGTGTGCGCGTGTGGAATGCATTTTGCGCGCGTCTTGTATACGTCGCTATATATAAGTAGAGCATGCGCTTTTTGTTAGCGCTTGCAATGCATTTCGCTTGCGTGTCGTGCGCGCTCCCCATGTTTGTTATCGGCGCCGTGCGCGGTATGTGCACGGGCTGTGTGCGTTTCGCTTGCGTTTCCATTGCGTCTTGGGTACGTGTTTTACGCGTTGGATATCCGTTGCGTAGGAGTGTCGTGATTGTGTGGTATGCTGTGCATGAGGTTTTCTTGGTGCGTCCCACACGAACCGTAACGGTGCCCACATGCTCCGTATGCGATGTGTATGAATTTGGAGTGCATTCCAACCGTATACGTTTGCCTGGTTCAATGCCGATGGTGTATATCAGTCGCATACGTACGGTTTACGTTCTTTATAAGTTTCGTGTATGTTTCGCACCCATTTGCACATACGTCCCACGTTTGCGTCGAATGAGTTTCATGTCTGAATTTTGATACGCTTCGTTACGATGGAGTTGCGCTGCGTTGGCGTATTGGATGCACGTCATCAGCTTTTCGCTGGCGGTTGTGTTCCATGCTCTCGTCGTTTTTGTTTGTTTGTTTCTCCCCCTATTTTCTCCCTCTCTCGCGTGCATTGCATACGTTTGTCATGATCGGCTCGTTTACGTTGCCTGTTTTTTTATTTATAGCACTGTTTCGACGCCAGCTGTTCTTATTCTTATGACCACCACCAGTACTACTACTACTACTACTAGTCCTATTACCACCACCACTACTACTACTACTCTACTACTACTCTACTGCTGCTGCTACTACTACTACTGCTACTTCTAAAACAAGTATTGTTATTACTATTACTACTATTGCCTTTATTTACTAGTATTACCATTACTACCGCACTCTACTTTTATGAGTGTTCGCCTGGCTGCTGCTATTAATAGTATTTCTATTGTTACACTTTCCACAACTACTACTATTACTGTCAATCCCACTACTTTTTTTAGTTGCGACTAAAACTACGACTACAACGATTATTGTGGGTACTACAATTTCGACGACGGCAACGGCGACTACTACTGCTACCGTTACCATTCGTTTTATTTAGTTCCATTATTCTGACTATTGCTATTCATTTCACTGTTCGTAGTAGTAGTAGTAATAGTAGTAGGAGTAGTAGTAGTAGTAGTAGTAGTAGTAGTAGTAGTGATAGTAGTAGAAGTAGTAGTAGTAGTAGTGGCACTACTACTAGTACTACTACTACTACTACTACTACTACTACTACTACTACCATGCTACTGCTACTACTACTATTACTACTACTACTACTACAACTACAACTACTCGTACTAGTACTACTACTACGACTATGGCTACTACTTTTACTGCTGCTACTACTACTACTAGTATTATTTCCAGTACTACTGCTACTACTGCTATCACTACTACTACTACTACTACTACCACTATTACTACTACTACTACTACTACTCTTACTACTACTACTACTACTACTACTACTACTACAATTACTACTACTACTACTACTGTACTACGACGACTACAACTACTACTACGATCACGACGTTTCAGACTAGTACTACTACTACAACTACTAGTACTACTACTACTACGACTACTACTATTACTCCTACTATCACTACTACTACAACTAACTACTAACTACTACTACTACTATTACTACTACGATAACTACTACTAGTACTAGTACTACTACTACTACTACTACTACTACTACTACTACCTACTACTACTACTACTACTACTACTACTACTACTACTACTACTACTACTACTACTACTACTACTACTACTACTACTACTACTACTACTACTACTACTACTACTACTACTACTACTATACTACTACTACTACTACTACTACTACTACTACTACTACTACTACTACTACTACTACTACTACTACTACTACTACTACTACCTACTACTACTATTATTACTATTACTACTACTACCACTACTACTACTACTACTAGTACTACTACTACGACGACTACTACTACTACTACTACTACTACTAGTACTACTACTGCTACTACTACTAACTAACTAGCTAACTAACTAACCAACTAACTAATTAACAGCTACTACTATTACTGCTACGACTACTGCTACTACTACTGCTACTGCTACTGCTACTACTACTACTACTACCACTACTACTACTACTACTATTACTACTACTACTACTACTACTAAGACTGATTCATTCCCCAGTGCTCTTATCGGGATACTCAAAGGTTGCACGCCTGCTTACCAGTTTGTTTTTTTTCAAACCTTTCCAGGCCGACCCCGTCTGAGACATTCGTCGCAGTGGGGCCCGCAAACTGGGACATTCCCCGGTGCCGCCGTGGAATGGGCCAGTTCACCTGGGCATGGACCAGTTCGCCAGGGTATGGATCAGAACCGTCGTGGAGCATCCAAAGGGAGATCGTGAGGGGCGCCATGGCCTTTCGGTGCGCTACGCAAGAATGGGCTTGGTACATCTTCAAGATTGCCGATGGGTTAGAGCTGTTCTCTTGAGAAGTTAAACAAGGGTGAGCTCCAGGCAGACCTGGAGCCGCCCGAAATCGCCCGGTACCAGGCGATCCTGATGGTTTCGATGTCCACCAAGCGTATGCTGGCTCGGTTCCCTTGTTTGCTCTGGGCGTTCGGCGCTATCAACTAAGCGCAAAGAGTCGCTTCTGTGGCCAGTGATGTTACCAGGTCTCGACTCCAACGTGTGGGTGAAGGGCAGCCGCTGGCTCGTTAATCCAAACAGAGGTTACGAACTCCGCCACTTCAGAAACAAGACCTTTCACTTCCCGTGAAAACCGCGTGCACCTGACCGCGCCTTTGGGAGGCTGCGGGTTTCCATTACCCTCTTACCGACAAAGCCGCCAAGTTCAAGGGTCATGTCAACGTCGATGGTTGTTGCGGATGCTTGGCCGACATCGAGCAGTTCCAGAACGCCTGGTCGAGCACGGACTACTGTGACCCCTGTGATGCCGCCAACAGGTTACCCATACTGGGGTCCGACTACCACAGTGGTGACGCGAGGAGGGCTGGCGACCGGGCGCTTTCGCCCATTGCCTCTAGGCGTCGTTCAGGCTTCGGCTGTCAAGATTTACATATTCACCCTCCTCCACCTGGAGATGATGCCCAGGATGATGTTACAGTGAACGACTTAATGTTTACGCAGGCCGAGTTCGTGTATGCGCATAGTTGCAGATCTGAACTTAAGTTCGGCTTCTTTTGACCGTTACCCATCTTGGCGACGTCGATGTTTCATCTACCTCTGTTCTCCATTTTATTTACTAGGCCTCCCCTGTTATTGCTGCTGCCAATACTGGCCGAGGGGTGTGTTGATTGTAACGAGGGTGATTGGGTAATGAAAGTGGCGGTATTGTTGTGATGGAGCGTGCGTCGCGATCGTCGCCGTTTGGCTCTGGTGATTGATCTTTAATGCTCGTGTCTGGTTGAACGTAGCGATCAGAGAAATCTTCATGATGGTTTCCGTGCCCACCTTCCAAAATAATGTGCATCCATATGATGATAATGACGATGGACGATGATGATTACGATTAAGATGATGATGATGCTGATGATGATGATGATAATGACGATGATGATGCTGATGCTGATGATGATGCTGATGATGATGATGATGGGTGGTGGTGGTTGTGGTTTTGATGATGATGATTCTGATGATGCCGCTGCTGTTGCCTGATGATGATGCTGATGATGATAATGATGATGATGCTGACGATGATGACGCTGATGATGATGCTGCTGATGATGATGATGATAATGGCGATGATGATGATGATGCTGATGCTGCTGATGATGACGATGCTGATGCTGATGATGATGATGCTGATGATGATAATGATGATGATTATGATGATGAGGATGATGATGATGATGATG